CCCAGTCCCCCAGTCCCCCAACCCAACATTGGACGGGGACCCGCAGCGCAGCGAAGGTTTTTCCGAACCGAAGGGGAGGACGGAACAGGGGTATGAAGCCGACGGGAGGAGGCGACGAATGAGGATCGAGGGACGCGGATCCGCACAAACAGGCAACGGGATTGCCGCCCGTTCCAGAGGAAGGGTTCTTAAAGCACGGCGGTGCCCACTTTGGGAGAAAGTGGTTTCTTTCCCTCTTGTCATCACGCAGACCTGCGACGGACGGAGCAGCACCCACACCCCAGCGCACCACGAACAGTGGGCGGTCTCTGCAGCGAAAGCGATCGGCCTGGGATCGACACGACGGGAGTCGGGCTTTGTTCAAAAGGGTTTTGCCCATCGGAGTTCCCTTCCAGTGGGACGCCGGACGACGGCAGGAGTGGCTCTCTTTCAGCCCCGGCGGAGGACGGACGGAGGAGGGTCTCGTATGCGACGCTGGTGTTGCGACCGCGGGAAGCGTCGATCATCTAGATGGATTCGGAAGACTTTCGACGAGAATTGGTCCGTCGGACCCATAGGGTCGACTATGGTGCGCTATACAGGTATCTTCTATTCGGCTTTCCTCCGGTAGGGCTTCGTCTCTTCTGGGAAGACTATTACAGCGCCTATCGCCATTGGGCCTCGGGTGGTCCCGGGTCTGGTCACGTTGTTGTAACGTGTGTTTTTCCATCGGGCCGGAGGCTGGTCAGTTGGGCTAATAGGCTAACGATGCGATCTTCCTGTCCGAATTCCCGGGATTGTTGTCTTCATCTGGATGGTATTGCGCAGCGGAGCATGGTGATGAAGTCCAAACCTTGCGTTGCCGTATTGACATTTATGGCACATCATGTCTGTGACGGGTCTAGTTCACTGCTCGATTGGGTTTCTTCCTTGTTGAGATCGTCTTCAGGGAGTGCCATCGACTACTTGGAGCTTCGTGTGGCGGAGTGGGTTCCAAAGGAGCAGTGGATTGCTTGGTGCATTCGCCAAGAGAATGAGTTGACTCGGTCGCCTAGTTGGCAGGATGGTGATGCCTGGTTTGGACCTCTTCCCTTTCGATCTACTGTGTGATGGCCTGCTGCTTGGGAAGCGGTTGGCACGAATGACAGCGACGACAGTATAGTGGACTCTATGGATAGTAATAATTCTCTTTTCTCAGCAGTAGTAATGGAATGAGAGTGTAATGTTGATGAATCTAGTCTTTCCATCCGTAGCTTCTAGTTTTCCTAGCAATGTTGCTCGAAATGTAGTCTGTCGTCTAATGTCTGAAGCCCTATACCTTCCTAGCAAACCTACCGTAGAGACTGAACCCTCACCCGTCATGGACCCAACTCTTCACCTCCTCTCCCTTCCGCTTTCCTGTCCGAAGGCGGGGTACGGGGCCGCCCAGGCCCTGTAGCGTGAGACGGAGCGTTAGCGAAGGCGAATCGTTCAAACCACCACGTCTCCAAACACGTATATGGTCATGGCGTCCGACAGACGTTGATTTTGTCCAAGTCCCACGAACAGTGGACCACGTGAGTGTCGCGACGGAAGGCGCGTTCATTGGCCGACCGAAAGTGGAGGCACAGGGGTCGATGCGACCAATAGAGAGCATTCAACCAGTTCAGGGTTATGTATTGGGGGACCAGTCAACCCGTTCAGGGTTGGCTATGGGGGAACGACTCTCTATAGTTTGTATAAGTTCCCCCAGTCCCCCA